TTTTGGGCTCTCTCCAGATTTAACGCTTCCCTTCTCTCCCAGCGCCCTCGGGAGCCGGGTTTGGGGTGGATTTGGGGTGGATTTTTGGGCTCTCTCCAGATTTAACGCTTCCCTTCTCTCCCAGCGCCCTCGGGAGCCGGGTTTGGGGTGGATTTGGGGTGGATTTTTGGGCTCTCTCCAGATTTAACGCTTCCCTTCTCTCCCAGCGCCCTCGGGAGCCGCGGAGCCGCCGGGCGGGGCAGGCAGAGAGGGCGGGGCCGCGCACAATGCGGCGAGGTCACAGTGCAGGACGCAGCCAGGGACCTTTGTTGTTTTATTTTTGGGGGGGTTTGTGCCAAAAAAGCGGCCGATTTCGGGGCCGGGGTTTTAAAATCGCCGCAGTTTTCGGGGCCCGGCGGACGGCGACGCTCGCGGCGAGTGTAGGTATGGACCCCCCCCAAACCCCACGGGACACCTGACACCACCTGGAACACCTCGGAACGCCCTCAAAGACCCCAGAAACAGCTCAGAACCACCCCAAAACATCTCAGAATGCCCAGAAACGCCCCAAAACCACCCAGGAAACCCTGAAAACACCCTCAAAAAGCACTTCCAAACACCCCAGAAACAGCCGGAAACGCTCCTGAAAGTCCCCCCAAACCACACCAAAAACGTGCCACAGCAGCCCAAAAACTTTCAAAAACACTCTGAAAAGATGCCCAAAGTACACTCAAAATAATGTGAAATCACCCCAAAGTGTATCTGAAAACGCCTGAAAATCACAAATCTGTATTTCATCGATGTTGAAAAACACCCCCAAAAATGCAAGAAACGTTTCTAAAAACATCCCTGCAAATGTCTGAAAGCATCCCCAAAAATGCTCTCAGAAGAGCCTCACAGCCAGCCCAGAACACGCCAAAAACGTGCCAAAAGTATTGAAACCACAGAAAAATCACACCTGAAACATTCCCGAGAGCTAAAAAACCCTCCAAAAATTCCTGAAAACACCTCAAAACACCTCTGAAAACACCTCCAAAATACCACCCAAAGCAGTGTAGAAACTGCCCCAAAAATCCCCCCAAAAGACCCTGAGCTCACCTTAGAGCAGCAGAAATCCCCCAAAACCTAAAGCCCCTCTGAGGGGGCTCTGATCTCCCCCGGTTTTGGGGTCACTGGGGGTCCCCACCCTCCATTTATACCAGACTCGGGGTTCCCCCATAAATTTGGGGTCTCCCCCAAATACCCAAGACCCAGAGTCCCCCTCCCCAATTCAAGGATTTTCCCCATCCCCGCTTGTGTCAGACCGAGGGTTCCCTTCCCTTCCCAAACTCTCCAAACTGGGCTCCCCCCTCCCCAAAATCCCCGATTCGGGGTGCCCCTCCATAACCCTGCGGGCCCAGGGGGTTGTGAGCAGCCCCCTGAGCCCCGCTTTCCCCGTTTCTCCCCGTTTTTTCCCCGATTCCCAGGTTCCGCTCCAAGTACCACCCGGATGAGGCCGGGAAGCGGCAGCAGGAGGCCCAGGCCGCCCTCAGGAACCGCCTCGGGGTCTTCCTCTACCTCTGGGAGCACGGCTGGTTCGACAACCTGCTCCTGGACATCGACCGTGCCCCCCAAATCATCAAAACCCTCGACGCAGGTACCCCGAAAGCATCCCTGGTATCCCAAAAACTCCTCTCAGAGCCCTTGGAGGCACCCGCTGGTGGTGGCAGCCTGGAGTTACCCAGGGAATTACCCCCCGACACTCCGAATCACTGCTTACAGCCACAGAGGCCACCCCAAAGTTCCTTCCTGATGCTCCAAAAATATCCCTGACATCCCGACAATCCCTCCCTGGTACTCCAGAAAAATCCCTTAAAGTGTTCCTGGTACCCCAGAAACATTTCTGACCTGTTCTTCAGGGTTGTCTTCGGGGTTTCCGACCAATTCTTGGGTGTTTCTTCCCCATATCTGTGTTTCCTGATCCATTTTTGGGTGTTCTTGACTTACTTCCCTGAGTTTTTTACGTATTTTTGGAGGTTTTCAATCCATGTAAGAGTTACTGAAAACAGAAGCACTGAGGGGAGGGAAGGGCAGGAGAGTGTGAGGGGAGAAAAAGGCGGGAAGGTGTGAGGGGAGAAAAGGGCGGGAAAGCGTGAGGGGAGAAAAAGGCAGGGAAGTGTGAGGGGGGAAAAAGGAGAATGTAAGGGGAGAAAAAGGCAGGAGAGTGACAGGAGAAGAAGGCAGGAAAATGACAGGAGAAGAAGGTAGGAAAGTGAGGGGGGGAAAAGAGTGTGGGGGGAGAGAAAGGCAGGACAGTGACAGGAGGAGAAGGTAGGAAAGTGGGGGGGGAAAAGAGTCGGGGGGGAGAAAAAGGAGAGTGTGAGGGGAAAAAAGGCAGGACAGTGTGAGGGGAAAAAAGGGCAGGGGAGCGTGAGGGGGGGAAAAAGGAAAGTGAGAGTAGAAAAAGGCAGGAAAGTGATAGGAGAGGAAGATAGGAAAGCATGAGGGGAGAAAAAGGTGGGAAAGTGTGAGGGAGGAAAAAGGCAGGAGAGTGAGGGGAGAAAGGCAAGAAAGTGAGGGGAGAAAAAGGCAGGAAAGTGACAGAAGAAGGCAGGAAAGTGACAGGAGAAAAAGGCCAGAAAGTGACAGGAGAAGGTCGGAAAGTGAGGGGGGGAAAAGAGTGTGAGGGGAGAAAAAGGCAGGACAGTGCGAAGCGAGAAAAAGGCGGGAAACTGTGAGGGGGAAAAAAGGCGGGAAAGCGTGAGGGGAGAAAAAGGCAGGAGAATGTGAGGGGGGGAAAGGAAAATGAGGAGAGAAGGCGGCAGGAAAGTGACAGGAGAGGAAGGTAGGAAAGTGTGAGCGGGGAAAATGGAGAATGTGAGGGGAGAAAAACGCATGAAAGTGTGAGGGGGGAAAATGTCAGGAAATGTGAGCGAGTGGAACGAGGTCATGAGGGGACACCCATTTTGGAGTACTCTGATACAATTCCAGATGTTTTTATTCCAATTTCAGGTATGTTTAACCTATTGTCATGCAGTTGTTACCTGTCTTTCGGTCCTTTAAAGCCAATTTTTGAGATTTTTTTCACCCGGTTTTGATTTTTTTTCCCTCAATTTTCACGTTTCCCCCCCATTTCCAACAATGATTAAGATGGAGGGGGAAAAAGGATCCTTCCCCCTCTCAGTTTCTAATCCTATTTTCAGGAATTTCTGACCCATTTTTGAGACGTTTTTAACCCTACTGTTGGTGTTTGTTCCTGCTGTTTTCTGTGTTTTCCAGCGGTGATTAAGATGGAAGGGGGTACAGAGCACGACCTGCGGATCCTGGAGCAGGAGGAGGAGGAGGAGCGGACGGAAAAGGCCGAAGGCCCCAAAAAGGAGGAGCCACGGCCACCAGAGCCCCCTGGGAAAGGCCCCACAGAGCGGCCCGATGGCGATGACAGCACCAAGGTCGGGGGCTTTGGGGTTCCCTGGGGAATTTTGGGGTTCCCTGGGGAATTCTGGCATCTGCTGGAGTCCCTTTGGTCCTTGTGGTCTTTTCTGGGGTTCCCTGAGGGGATTTTTCAAGGTTGCTTTTATTCTCAGGGGGGTCTTTAGGGTCACCTTGGGGTCTTTTGGGGCACCCACGGTCTCTTTTAAAGCCCCCTAGGGCTATTTGGGGGTCCTTTTTTGCCTCCTGGGGTGTTTTTCGAGGTCAGTTTTTGGGGTTCTTTGGGATCCCTTTCGTCCTTTGGGGTCCTCTTTGACCCCCCCCCCCCCCC